CTCTCTCTCTCTCTCTCTCTCTCTCTCTCTCTCTCTCTCTCTCTCTCCCCCGTTTGCCTTGCGCACTGTATTTCCATTTACCTTGTATGTAACTTAAGTACAGTACTTTACCCGAGTACATCCATGATAATACAACTATAGTTTAGTTACTTTACAAATGTATATTTTACATAAAGGCTATCAAACATATCCTCATCTTAGAATATGAGGAACTATTTAACAGTACCTAATTGTAGTTCAAATTGGACAATAATGCACTGTGGTAACAATAATCAAACAATATAATATGCAACATTATAAACTGTAATGTGCCAGTTTTCTGCACACTAATGAGTACTTTAACTTTTAATACTTGAAACAAACTCATTAGTTAAAATCAGCTCCACCTCGGCCAAAATAACAAGTAAAATTCTGCTCACATGTCAACATATGAATAATAATAATAATCCAATAGTGGATTATAGAATCATGTAACACATCATCTGCATAATGAGACTGATGCTATTCAATTATAACATTATGAGCTATAAAACTCGATACACTTTCTCCTCTGTTTTATAGCTCCTTTGACCGCTTACAAATATTCCATTACAAGCACAAATTTTAAAACGGTCAAAAGAGTACGTCAGCAGTTTAGCTTTGCACGTCCATAAAGTTGAGACATTTTATATATTTCAAAATGGTCAAAACAACCAGTGACGTCTGCTTTCTAACGCTGGGTTCAGGTCAAAGTTGGAGGTCGGGATTTTACATATAAAATGTCCAACTTCCGAACTCCAAGTGTTCCAGGTGCCAACAGCAAAACATGGCCGCCGTGACAAACTGATGGTTTACTATTTTACAGTGTACGCTTCAATTGTGTGACGTCAGACAACTGCTTCTTCGTGACGGCGATGGATTTCCCCCAAGTTTACAAGTAGGAACTGCGACTGAGTTGCGTTCCATTGTGCTCTTTCTAGTAGGAGGTCGGACGTTTTGCACCACTACTGACAAAAAGTAGTGTGTTCGAGTTAAGGAAATTTAAAAAAGGAAAGGGACCAAAAAAAGCTTGGAGGGTGAATAAAATAAAATAAAATAAAATGGAATAAATTAAAAAGTGATAAATTGAAACAAAAACCACGACTACACTACTGCAGCGATGTGGAACATAACATGTGACTTGCAGTTAGTCGTCATGAGCAATATCCAAAAGCAAGATCATGGAAAAGGAAAATCATTAAGATCATTTACAATGTTCATTTTAAAGACTTTATTCTCCCATCACTTATTATCTCCCAATTCATAAATCACTTACATCACATAGAAAAGACGGAGAAAGTAATGGTCAAACTGAACTTGATTTGGAGTTGATCCAGACGTGAGGATTCTACGGGTTTTCACATTTGTTTGTAACAATAATGTTGCATTCATGTGCTGGTGGGAAAATCAGCAATCTGTGTTGTCCAAGTCATCTGGTACAAAGCGTCGTATTCCTTTGCAGTTATTCTGAGAAAATCAAACAAAAAAAAAACTGTTGAGTCATCACCTACATTGTAGTCCTTGTATGTTATACATATAGCCTATCCTATCAGACATGTAGTAACATAGGTAGTGTTGGTCAGAAATATAGCAGTAGTTTGACATGTCAGGGAATACTCTTCGTTGCTTTCTTACAGGGAGTTAGATGAGAAGATCGACACCACTCATCTCATGTTTGTCTGGTAAATCTACAGCTAGCTAGTAGTTGGTTAGCTTAGCTTAGCACAAAGACTGGAAGCGAGGGAAACGGCTAGCCTGGCTCTGTCCAAAGGTAAGTACACCCACCTACCAACATTTCTAAAGCTCAACAATTAATGTTGTTTGTTCAATCTGTCCCCGTTTCCAGTCTTTGTGCTTTGTGCTAAGCGTATTTGCAGCTAGCCCGAGCTACATATTTAATATTCAGATGGAAGAAGGGTAATCTCAGAGTCTATAAATGGATATCTGCATATGAAATCTGTAGGCAACAGGACAAGCTTTTGGTATCGGAAGCATTCTGGTTTCCGTTTGTAGTCTGAGTAGTATTGACCAATCGTGTTTGATTTAGCTTTTTTGTTAATCTCTACAAACGGATGTCCGCATATGAATGCAGACACACAGTCCGGTTGTAGACGTCGTGGCTCAACCTCAATTCAATTCTCGCATCTCGAGTTGCTAATCGGACTACAATGAGCAGCGCACGGAACAGGAAGTCATGGCCAGGATAGCCGCTGGCTACATCAGAACCACAGAATTATTGGTCGTTGTCCCTAGAGGCTAAACCGTCGTCAGAGCGATAGCCGATGGGTTACGACACTGGAAGAGTGGTCGTCTTCTCATCAAACTCAAAAATAAGTGTCTTCAAATGTCAAACTATTCTCTGAAGACATCTCTCTCTCTCTCTCTCTCTCTCTCTCTCTCTCTCTCTCTCTCTCTCCCTTCCTTCACTCTGGAAGAATAATGCATCTTGCTGTTTTGTGCCGTTTAGCAAGCAGATGGAAGCAAAAAATGTCTGACAATCTTTTTAATTGCATCATGTAATATGCTTTTATGGAGGCTATTGTTAGAAAAGCTGACATGAAACAGGTCGCAGCTACTGTCACTTATTCTGGATCACAGCAAAATGCGTAGAAACGGTCCTGCTATTATGTCGTGTCCATAATGTGGTAAACATCAAAAAGTAAATCAAATTTGCGGTCAAGACAACTGCCAAGTCCAACTTGCCAGAAGCTTTGATGTTGTTGTTTTTGCCAACTGTCTCCAGATGTCTAAATTGGTCTTCTGGTTTTGTCTGAATCCGTGACCCATTTATAAAGATGCACTCCAGAGAAAATCATGATGTTTCAACCAAACAGCCAATATTCTTTTTTAGGCATTTAGCTGGCCATGTTGATCCAGAGAGGCAGTTTGTCAAATAGGCTTTTATCCTTTTACATTTAACCCTCTTTGCTCAGTCTGTTTCACTTTGCAGATTTCTAATTTCCACAGCTATTTCCAACTATGTGACATTAACAGTAATTGATGTTGCGTTGCTATGTTAGCCATCGAGGTGTGTTCATCATCTTATGTAAAGAGCTGCTCCCCTGAGGACAGGGCAGGACCAGGGATCAGCAGCCTGTTGCACCAGTGCTTTAGAAGTTCAAACTTAGTCTAGTTATAAAGTACAGACAGTGTTAACTAGATTAAAACATGTTGCATCACGCTAGTAAGGATTAGACCTAAAGGCTACGTATGAGTATTGAACAACTGAGAAAACTAGAGTGCTATTATACAAGCCATTTAAGGTGAAGAGTAAAACAGATTCTGTGGAATATGGTCGACCTCACACGTGATCAGAATGTTATTTAATGCTGTTAAATGTTAAGTAGATGAGTTTCTATTTTCATAACGTCAAGCCATTAATGCCGGCATGGCAGGGTTTAGTTTTAGTGTCAAAGAAAAACGTAATATCTTGACATTGGGTTTTATTAATGACAGAGCTTTGAAATAATCACATCTTTAAGCTTTCTGCAAGCAATACAGTTACAGTTAGGTGAATAAACAGGAGTGGGAACATTTCTATTGAAATGTTTAACACAGCCTCGTGTTCTGTTTAACATTATTATCTTGTCATTAATTTCACAATCCAAATCACATCCATAATGTTAACTGCTCCTATGGAACGCAGAGCAGAGTTCTGGTGAGCAGGCGTATGGGCATATGTCAGATCCAAGGATTTGAACTGTATTCGTCACTCGTGCTGATCGACGAGGCTCAGCGGGCGGCCGTGCCGCTCCGCCAGAAACATCTCTACATGCATGGTATGCAGCAGATAGATTATTTTATAATGATCGTAATTTAAAACTGCCTTAATATCTTTGTAGCAAAAACAATCCTCAGTCATCGGCATACGATCCGATGGCCCATCGGCACAAGCACCTTAAAGGTACCCGGGACCTTTTCTTGTGAACAAACAAAAGTTATGTTAATAATCAGTTTGTCATCGTTTGAATCCTTGAGGCCTGACAAACCTTTGGACTGCATTTCTTTCCTCTTACTGAAAAACGTTTGCGAAGCCGATTTCTGTGTGAGTGTCATAATATGCATTATTATATCCATGTTTGCTACTTTGTCTTCTTCTTCACTACCTTTTTTTTGCCCGTTGCGTCCACCAACATGGGTCAGCCTAAAAGCGTGCCCTCTTGTGTGTGAGAGCAAGAGAAACCGGTGAAAACATGTGCATGTGTATATAACGGCCGCATAAAAATGCCCGTTGCTCTGACCATCCTGCTACGTTTATTTGAATGTGAATGTTAGTTCTACTCCTATTCTTTTTATATGGAGGTTCATTTGTGAAGATTATCTTGCTGAAGTATCAAGCCACAGAGCTTATTTTCTGCAATAATCCCCAAAAAATCCCATTGGCTTTTTTTCGAGGGAACCAGTACTATGCCAACTTCTGGCTTGGCCCTACAGATATGTCATTCTTCTATGCTCCCGTCTTGCAAAAATCACACACCTGTTGTACCGAAGGAATAATGAAGAATACTCTTAAACCAGTCCGTCACAAGAGACATAATTTCAAGTTTCATCAAAAGTTGATTGGTTGAAATTCTGACCATTGAATAATAGCTCCCATTATGCAGCTCAGGGGTTGGACGTGTTGGTTGGTCGTCTCATCACTTTGGGGGTTCCCAAAAGATTCATAAAGACTTTGGTGTTCATCTGACTTTTCATCTACCGCCATCATCAGGTCAAAATTTAAATTTGGTTTATGACCAAACATCTGCAGAACGAGTCCGATCAGCCTCAGCTGTACATCGTGTTTAGCACCAATTAGCAAATGTTAGCGTTCTAACATGCTATGACAGGAACTATGGCAAAGATTACACCCATTAAACTTCAGCACATCAGCATTGTCATTGTGAGCATGTTAGCATGCTGACGTTAGCATTTAGCTCAAAGAACTGTCACGAAGTGAAGCCTAAAAAAGTAAAAAGGGATTTTATACCCACGTTAACACAGTTCAGCCGTTATCAGACCAGTATGCCTGAATCAAAAGGTGGTTGATACAAATGTCTTCGTCCTCCTCGGCGTCTTCATCCTCCCGTAACCATGGTAATGCAAGCTGGGAAAATTGTATGGTGGATGTTGTGTAAGTTCCTGGTCTAAGTTCTGTGATACACTCCGACTGTGATTCTATGCTAGTCAGTGCATAACAGAACTTTGTCTCGGGTCTGAAAACTCTTCGGACGGACGGATGAGTGAGCAGGATTCTGGACAACGTCTTTTGGCATGTCCACATCTGGAAAAGAAAGTCCAAAACCAAACTGGATGACGAAACAAAAGCACAAAAGTCTGCAGGTTGAACAGACGGATGTAACTGGTTAAACTGGGTGGGTCCTGTGTGTACAGGATGTTGCTGGATGATTAGGGTTGATACAACACACTGGTCAGATGCTTTTACTGTTGCTGTGGCATTGTGGAGGAGACCTCTCCCAAGTTTTCCTGATGTGACTCGGAAAAGCTGAAATATTAAAGATGTTCTCTCTGTTTATTGTTGCAGGAACCCTCCCTCTACACAGTGAAAGCTGTTTTCATTCTGGACAATGATGGCAACAGACTTCTGTCAAAGGTAAGGACACATTAACCCTTCACTGCTGACCATCCTGACAAAACATACGAAGCACACACCTTCATTTAATGTCCTTCATTGTGAAAGTAAACGTGCTGTGACTTGTGTTTATTACGAGGATTCCACAGCAGGACAAGTTGAAGTCCCATAGGGGTTTCATAGTAAAAGACTAAAAAACTAGCTATTGCTGAAAACAATGCTGGAAAAATGATTATATATTTAATGGACTAAGACGTCCCAAACCTCTGTTATGGTGCCTCATTATGTTACATGTTGTCAACCCCTCCTCACAGTATCAGCTCCTCCATGTTTAGCCCAGAATGGAACCAGCAGCCTCGGTGCCGGCGTGCATTCACTGTGTGATGCGTGTGTCTGTTTCAGCACTACGACCCCGGGCTCTACCCCTCCATGAAGGAACAGAAGAACTTTGAGAGGAACGTCTTTAATAAGACACACAAAGCAGACAGTAGGTTCCTCTCTGTCTCTGTTCTTGTGTATTCTACTCAACACTCACACACGTCTCCAATGTCACCTGCTGCTCCTCCTTCACTTGTACGTGAGCCTAAAGCCTTTCTATGGCAGCCTGCTCTCCATCGTGCCAAACCACGCTACAGTTGTTAGTGTGAACCTTGAAAATCTATGAAAAATCTCCTCACTGTTTTTTTTTAACTCCAGCGGACACTTCTCTGGACTGCAGAATAAGTTTGATTCATTCCAGGTTTCACACAGCTGACACCCGAGTCTCTGCCCCAGGCCTCCTTATCACCCACCCAGTGTATTCCTCCTGTTGTTCTAAACTCCTCCTTCATTCCTCCTTTTCTCCTCTCTTCTGCCATGTCATGCTATATCCCCACTCCTTCCCTCCCGCCTCATCCTCCTTTTGTCCTGCTCTTCCCTTCCTTAAAGCATCTCTTCACTCCCCCTGTCTCTCTCACCCTTCCTCATTTCACAACTTCTACTCGCTTTCCCTTTTCTTCTTTTTCCTTTCCTTCCTCCCTCCTTCGCTCTCTCGAGTTTTTCTTTTTTGTTGTTGTTGTCTCCTGTCCTATCGTCTCCTTCCTTCACCTCCCTCCTTGCCTTTCTTCATCCCCACCTGTCCCTTCTCTGCCCTTCTCTCTTTGTCATCTCCTCTCATCCTCCCTTTCTCCTTCCTCATTCCGCCCTCCTTGTGCCATTCATCCCTCCCCTATCACTTTCTTTATCCTTTTTCTCTTTTCTTTTCATTTGCTTCCTCATCTTTTTTTCCTATTCTTCTATCAATCTTTGTCATTTTTTATTGGACTAAAATAAAGTCATTGTGTGAATAAAAGAGAAATATATCTGTCCTCCTTTTCTATCCTGAATGCATCCCTCTCTCCGTCTTCTCTCTGTAGATGAGATAGCGTTCGTGGAGGGGATGACCGTCGTCTATAAGAGCAGTATAGACCTCTTCTTCTATGTGGTGGGCAGTGCTGAGGAGAACGAGGTAGGGGGCATTACTTTAAATCTGGAGGTAACCGTGTAGTTGTTGGGGACTATATTCTCAGCGGGTGATTAATACAGCCGGACGGTGTATGTGGGACTGAGTCGCAATAAAGTACAGTTTTTGGACAATAATACAATAATAGAGAAAAAAAGATTATCACCAGCCTTATCCTTTAGTTTATGAATTTAAACAATATCATTTTACAGATTAAAACACTGCCCCCCCCCCCACACACACTTTATGAACTACGGTATCAAATTGAGGCCACGTATTTCGTCATTTTGTAATATTAAGGTTTTTTAGTAGTAAATAAAAATGACATCCATAGTCCACGCAGAAGAAGAATTAAAGCTTTTTTGGTTCCATTTGTTGAAATAGTCATTACATCCCGGCAGCAATCAAATCCTCTGTCAAAAAGCCTCATGTGGCTGTCGCAGGACTGATCAGCATGACTGTGCTCCCTGCCTGTCTGCCTGCGCTGTCTTCCACAAGCTGCTATGCAGCTGTGAGTACTAAACATCTGTCCCTTCTCACCAGTCATCTGGACATGTCATTGCAGGTATAAACACAGGTGTGATTATTCACATGCATTATGGCCCTTTTCCATGTAGGTGGGCCAGCGCCCTGGTATTGTGCATGCTATCTTACTGGAATGGGAACATAATTCATTTGATCAATTACAACTAGGTTGACATGTCAAAATGGCTGCTGTGAATAGGGCCTAGAGCCTTGTTCGTTCCGGCCCATTATGATCATTTTGGGGAAGTGGTTTCGGAGGGGAGGCCTGAAAGGACAGGCTGCAGCGGAGCCAGAAGGGCAATGTTCAACTATTCTACCAGAGGCTTGAAATGATCGTACTCGTTCACAAGCACAACAACAAATAGAGGTATGACGTGTGGAAGGGGTTATGTGTCCATCAGTCTGACTATTTTTGTAATAGCCTACTATTACAAATTACAATAACTATCATACATCTCACAATGCTGAAGGGCTTCTGACTTTGGAGCTCGGGCTGCTAGCTTCTTTCATCAGAGAACAGTTGGCAACACTGGGCTGTGATTTTTAAAATGGATGATTTATTTTTTTAAATCTAGCTAGTGTTGCTAGTTTTCGCAAGATTAGCTTTGAATATATGAACATATTTAAATTCATTCATTATTTACCACAAAGGGTAAAGAGGAGTTAACCCATTAAATACCTAGATACCGAGTAAGAATCTGAAAATATTTCAGATCCCGATCGTAAACTACAGTCAATTTCGAACCTTAATAACACCGTAAACTGATCAGTGGAACATTTTAACATTTTAAATGAATGTGTACATGATGGGAAAAGTCAATGTACTTCACTGTTTTGACAATTCATTCAATTGACAATTCATGGACAAATGCCATCTTTATACTGTATATAACAATAACCATAATAATATAACCGTAACAAAGTCCTTGATTTAGATACACTACCTGGAAATTCTAAAGGCTGCTGTTTCCAGTGAAACAAGCTCTGATGAACCCACCGTACAATACCTGGCCAGCACCAAGCAGCAGACAGACACAGGTTCTGCCACTAGCTGGTGAACACAGTGGAGCATTTAGCAGCTAAAGAGACGGATATAACCCTCAGTAGTTGTTGGAGACCAAAACGTAGCTAAAACCAGCGTACTGGCATGTTACCCGGCAAAACCTAAAACATGTCAGTGTGGCATGGACATAAAAATACTCTATATCTATCTATCTCTATATCTATCTATCTCTATATCTCTATATAGAT